TACACTGGGCATGCGCGTGACGGTGTAAACAGGAAGTGGATTGCTTGTTTAGTTAAAAAAAAAAATACGACAGAGTAATAAAGTAGTCTTTAATAATGAAAGGTTGTATTTGATACTTAAGATCTTCCTCTAAAATCTCCCTCTATAAACTCAGACACAGTTCGTGGAAAGTTTTAGAAGTTTTATTTTTCAGACGTAGTTACAGCGCTGCGGGTCTATCTCTCTCACATCAAATTTACTTTAAAATCAACACTTACACGTAAACGTTTACTAGATTATGGGTCCATCAATGTGGTCAACACACGTCTCTCACTCTATTCTGCTCTTGCTTCGTGCATAAAGCTTAGCAGATCGCTAACAGTAGATCCGTGAAATAAAGACCATGGAATCCATAGAAGTTTCAAGACTTCAGTGTGAATCTTTCTTATTTGTAAAACTGTGGAAACACAATATGAAATATGGCTTTACAAACTGTCCATATACACATGCATGAATACAAAACAACAATCCATGATATAGCCAGCATGTAACATGTCCGCCTAGCTAGCTTCTAAGCTCATTTTAACATTACCGCCAATGGAGAAATGCTAATCGCGATTAGCATTTAATACAACACAAATGTTATACTAAACACGCGAATAGAATATATCTACGTACATCTTTTCATGCTTCATAAAGACATACTTACAGACTAAGGTCTCTCAAGGCTACCAAACGGAAGAAGTAAAAGGTTTGTGCAGCGTGTCTTCTCATTAGAATCTAAAAACAACGAGCTGCTCCATAGGGCTGATGCTGGTCACCGCTGCTCACTAATCGCTCCAACAGCTGCTTCCTCCACAGAAATGCAGACTTTACTGCACAACAGCTGCTAGCTGAAATTAGTTATCCATGTTGAAATGAATTACTGGTCGCCCTGGCTGTTTGTTATCTTCCGGGTACGGGTCACGTGATAGTGAGTGTGACGAATCAGGGACGGAGACGTCATGGCTGCTAATAACCAATCCAGTAGCGAACACGGGTGTGGGCTCATTTTTTCTAACACACATCCGTATATGACCGTCCACACGCAAACGCAACCCCGGAGTTTTCAAATACCTCCAACCTCTGGGGAGTTTTCAGACTCCTCCGTTTAGGGTGCTCCAAAACTCCGGCGTAGTGTGGCCGCTCAGTGTAAACGTAGCAAATACGGAGTAAAAACGGACTAGTATGGACATGGCCTGAAAAGCTGGAGAAAAAGTTTTCAGCCAACGACCCCTCGTCAGTTTGGACACCCCCTGCCTCCTCCTCATCTCTCCCAACCGACCCCCCTCCGGCACTGAGGATCTGCGAAGAGGATGTGAGTCGGCTCTTCCACAGACAGAAGATCAGGAAGGCACCAGGCCCAGACGGTATGTCACCCTCGTGCCTGAAAGTCTGTGCTGGCCCCCATCTTCACACAGATCTTCAACCGATCACTGGAGCTGTGTGAAGTACCCTCATGCTTCAAACGCTCCACGATCATCCCGGTCCCCAAGAAATCCTCCATCACAGGATTAAATGACTACAGGCCCGTCGCCCTGACGTCTGTGGTCATGAAATCCTTTGAGAAACTGGTGTTGAGCCACCTGAAGAACATCACAGGGCCCCTGCTGGACCCCCTGCAGTTTGCCTACCGTGCAAACAGGTCGGTGGATGATGCAGTCAACATGGCACTACATGCTGCAACACCTCGACTCCCCAGGGTCATATGCAAGGGTTCTGTTTGTGGACTTCAGCTCAGCGTTCAACACCATCATCCTAGCAATACTCCAACCCAAACTCTCTCAGCTCACTGTGCCATCCTCCACCTGTCAGTGGATCAGAAACTTCCTGACTGACAGGACGCAGCAGGTGAGGCTGGGAAAAATCACATCCAGCACCCGGACTATCGGCACTGGCGCCCCCCAGGGATGTGTGCTCTCCCCACTGCTCTTCTCCCTCTACACCAACGACTGCACCTCAGAGGACCCATCTGTTAAACTCCTGAAGTTCGCAGACGACACAACGGTCATCGGCCTCATCAGGGATGGTGATGAGTCTGCGTACAGGTGGGAGGTTGAACAGCTGGTCCTCTGGTGTGGTCAGCTCAAAACTGTGGAGATGACAGTGGACTTCAGGAGGAGCCCCCCAACACTATCCCTCCTCACCATACTCAACAACACTGTGTCCGCTGTGGAGACCTTCAAGTTTCTGGGATTCACAATCTCCCAGGACCTGAAGTGGGCTCCCAACATCAACACCATCCGGAAAAAGACCCAGCAGAGGTTGTACTTCTTGCGCCAGCTCAGGAAGTTCAACCTACCTCAGGAGCTGCTGATCCTGTTTTACTCAGCCATCATCCAGTCTGTTCTCTGTTCTTCCATCACTGTGTGGTTCAGATCGGCCACCATACAGGACAGAAACGGACTACAACGGATTGACGGGTCTGCAGAGAGGATCATTGGTTCCAGCCTGCCCTCCATCCTGGACTTGTTCACCTCTAGATTCAGGAAACGGGCTGGAAAGATCACTGCAGACCCTTCACAAGCTGTTACAACTCCTCCCCTCTGGTAGGCGCTACAGAGCTCTGTACGCCAAAACCACCAGACACAGGAACAGCTTCTTTCCACTGGCCGTCACTCTCATGAACATTAAATAAGTCATATTGCACTACTACCTCTGTTTGCACTATTGTATCATATATACATATACTTTTTGTTTGGGATATATTTATACTTATATTGTACATAGCTGTTAAATGTACTTGTTTTTCTTATATTTCTCTTGTTTATTGTATATATTTCATATGTGTGTATGTACGATGAGAGTAATGTGTAACCGGAGTCAAATTCCATGTATGCGCACGCATACATGGCCAATAAAGCCGGTTCTGATTCTTTGCATGTTCTCTCAGGGCTGCCTGAGTTGGTGGAATCGAGTTGTGGGGCCTTCGTTTCCGGGCAAAGAGATCCAATCTTGCTTCATCCACACCAGTAACTGCGCTTGATCTATCGTACATGAGCACAACAAATCTCTCTAACTGTTGCCAGGTCCAGGTCACTCATTGATGTTGGATGCTGGCTGAGATTGGTGATGGTTTCAGAAACTTCATCACAAATGTTCCAAGTCTGCCATGCTGTCTTCTTTCGTTTCCCATGAAATGCAGACGCAATGTGTGATAGGAAATGTGGTTGTGCTAGTACATTTCTACTGTGATTTAGTTTATGTGCCTTACTCACTAACAAAATTATATATGTGACATATGATTGTAAACTAGGAGAGTGGTAACAGGACCATATGAGTTATCTCTGCCTTTGCTTTGATAAGGGGAAGTAACCAAATGGGGGTTGCAGTTTAACCAGAGAATGTTGAGGTGTGAAGATTCCCAGAGATAATCAAAGGTAATAAAGACCAATCGCAGCACACTGCACCTCGCGGCAGAGCTGCAACTGGACGTAATGCTGATGTAGCTGTAGGCTGGCTAGCAGGCGCTGACACGTCAAAGAATACGCCCAACATGTCAAACTAAAGATCTGATTGGTTGAAGAATATGACAATCAACAATATCATCCACATTCACTTAAACTGCAAAGGGATTCACTTGTGAGTCTGCAGGCCTCGGGCCTCTCTTCTTAACTAGAGACTCGGAGGTGAAATCTGATTGGATAAAAGCTCTACTTAAAACAAGCTGCACTGGAAGCAGAGCAACTGAGGAAGACAGGAGCTGTGCATTGAGAAAATAAGATAATGGGAAAAATATTTTTATAAATTATAATACATGTAGTGTATTTAAGAAAAATTATTAAATTATAAAATAGATATAGCTTTGTGATTCTGTTTAGGCCAGCAGAGAAGGTGTTGCAGGCCCTGACGGCCCACCACTGTTGTAATGTAAATAACTGATGTTCCCCCCCCCTGCTGTGTGCTGAGATGTTTAGGAGACAAACTGAACTCTTGGCTCATCCTCTGCGGACTGTGTTGCAGTCAGTATAACGGTGAAGCCTTCTCTGCACAGAGAATAAATACTTTAACAACTCCTTCTCTCAATGTTTCTTGTTTCAGTATTATAGGACTCACTCAGTCCTATTGAATCGTTTTTCCACCACAAACTTGGCGTCACGAACAGGATCCCTTGAAAGATCACCGGGAACCGACTGCTGACGGGGACTGATCATCCACGAGGCTTCTCCTCCTGCTCTGTGCCTCCACACATTCTGGAGAGGACCGTTCAGTGGTTCCTGAGCATCTTCACTGGGATCCTAAAGGACCTGATTGAGTCCAGATAGACTTCTAAACATCCGGTGAGATACTGAAATTTGGAAGATTGACTGAAGGTTTGTTTTGGGGATTTTGTTTAATAAATGTCAAATTGGGATTTTATTCTCCAATTTGACATGATGCCAAAATGAGTATCTTACCTTGTTTGGCAACACAGTTGTGAGGGATATAGCCTCAGACATCAGGTCCCTGCCAGAGGTTCAATTTTCTGTCATAATGGATGGCACTCAAGATGTTCAGGGTAAAGAACAAGTCTCCATATGCCTAAGGTATGTGGACAAAGAACTTGAGCCACATGAGGTATTTGTGGGACTCTACGAGGTGCCAGGGACAACTGGGGAACAGATGGCAAAGCTAGTGGTTGATGTGCTTCTGAGATTAAACTTACCAATATCAAGGTTGCGAGGTCAAACTTATGATGGAGCAGCCAATATGGCAGGAAAGTTCAATGGGGCACAGGCAGTTTTGAAAAAAGAACAACCACTAGCATTGTATGTGCACTGTGGTGCACATTGTGTGAATCTTATAACACAGTGTGCATGCAGTGCCTCTCCCTTAGTACGCGATGCATTGCAGTGGGTCCATGATCTTGGAACTCTCAGTAACCAATCAGGCAAATTCAAAGGGGTACTGGCTGGACATGGAATAGGTGAGGGGCATATTAAAAGTGTGAAACCTCTTTGTCCAACTAGGTGGACAGTGCGTGGCCAAACTGTTGACACAGTTCTTAGTCAGTATGAGGCTATATTGACAAGCTTGGAGGAAATGGCTTTGGCTGTTTCTGACTCTGGTCCCAGAGCCAATGGTCTCCTGGAACGCTTCCTGAAGGGCAAGACCGTTCTTGGACTGCTAGTGGCCTCTGAGGTGTTGGGAGAGCTTGAGTGTCTAAACAGGTCACTGCAAAAGCAGTCAGAAACAGTTAGAGGTATGCAGGCTGCTGGTGCCTATGTCACCTCAATTCTACAGGAAAAAATAAGTGATGAAAAGTTCCAAGAGTTGTTTGAGAAGGCAGAGGCGATGGTAGAAAAACTTGGATTAGAGCCAGTTCAAATTCCACAACAGAGAGCTCCCCCCAAACGATTCACGGGTAAGGCTAGTCACCACCAGGCAAAAACACCTGAGGAATATTACAGGGTTGAATTTTTCAAGTTGTTAGACTGCTTGGATTTGCAGTTTAGCGAAAGGTTTAACCAACCGGATTTGGAGAAACTCAGAAAAATTGAGAATATTCTTCTCTCGGGCATTTTGGATGATGCCATTGAACCATACTTTGAAATTGACAGGGAGATTCTGAAAACTCAGCTCCCAATGTTCCGATCAAAGTGTCCAGTCAGCACCACTAGGGAAGCTGTAGAAGTTCTGAGGGCAATGCCAAGAGAGGTAAGGGGCCTCTTTGACGAAGTGGAGAAGCTGATCAGAATATTGATTGTTGTGCCCGTTTCCTCAGCTGAAGCTGAGCGGAGTTTCAGTGCGTTAAAAAGGTTAAAAACCTGGCTGAGGTCAACCATGTCCCAGCAGCGGCTGAACAATGTCTCTGTCTGCCATGTGCATCAAGCTACTCTGGACAAGATTGAGCTTAAAGATGTAGGCCAACAGTTCATCTCTGTGAATGATAGACGGAGGTATCTTTTTGGTGTCTTTAAATAAGACATCAAAAGAGGCTTTAACACCTGCTGATGTCTGCATTAACCCTGGAGCTTGTCAACCATTAGCCCTTGGCCTAGCACGATGGCCGCATGTGCACATACATTTTTACTTGTTAACTTTTTATGTTTACTTTAAGCTTCGGTTAAAGTCTCATACAGCCTTACTTAAGGCATCGGACCGCGTCCGCATTCTTGCCCCGTAACGGACAAGGGTCTCTTAAGAAATGGGCGCAATTTATGCAGAAGGGTTGTAATGGTGTTTTTCATGTAGTATATGTATTTTTACTTATTTAGTATATATATTTCTACTCACTTACTTAGTATATATTCCTATTCAGTATATTGTATTCATGCATAAATACGTTTGCTCTGACCTTTGTTGAACTGCACCACCATGTCTCTGTGGTGCAAAAGAAGGATTCTCTCTGTGTTTTGAGAATGTTGTATGAGAATGTTCCAGTGCCAAAGCCTTCGGGCCGCTTGTTTTGGTTGCTGGCCGTTTGTTTTAAATAAATATACAGAAGGGAACCTCTGGTCTTTGGTATTCTTTATTTCAGCATCAAAAGACTCATGCAAAGCGGGTACGGGATATATTTGTTTTCCAGCACAGGGTACATATATATGAGAATACCCTGGTATTAATCTTACGCTGGGCAAAAAGGTGTATTATGTTTTATATTGTGTATTATCCTGTATCCCTGTAACCTGTTGGAACATACGATGATGTAAATGTGTCTGAGTATTATTATCAACCAGTGAGCACGGTATGTGATACGTCCTGAGTACCAGTAGAGGTCGTTGTGTTAGATAACAATATGTTCATCAATGTATGACTAAATTTAAGGGGGGTTACCATGCCCATGTCATGCCCCACAAAGGCACCAAGAGGGGGGGTTGAAACTTTCTCCCGATGTTGCTAGAGTATAAATATTCTCGGTTTTAGACAATCGGGGCGGTAGTTGGGGAGAAGTCCACCAGGTCTGTACCTGCGTCCCTGCGTGGGGTTAAAATTTAATTCTTACAAATCTCCAGACATTTGAGAACTTGCTTGCTCACTGAGTTCAGGGTTTTTAAATTATTTTAGTTTTTCTTATATATCTTTTTGTTGATCGATTTTTCTCTGTATTTGATATATATATACTTTGAATTGAACAGAAATAAATAAGTAACAAGTTAACTTTTTTGTGAGTTTGACAGAGCTTTATATCTGTTGGGCTCTTAATAAAGTTTGCCTGTTCAACATAATATCAACTAAGTTATTTTTTATATATATATGGGGGGGGGGGGGCTGGCAGTGTCCCTACCAATGCTGAGACCAAACCTACGCCCTTGGATTAAACTCTTTGTTAACAAAGAAAGGAGGATGGATTTTGTCTTTAAATAGTGAACAGCAGCTCTGGTAAGTTAACTGCTTTTGTTTTTATATGGAAGATGGATTTTTGTTTGGTTTTATATGTGATAGGAACTATTGTTACGTCCAATGTTGCTCTGGCTACACATTTAGTCGGTGCCAGTGTTGCCAACTTGGCGACTTTCTCGCTAAATCTTGCGACTTTCCAAAGCCTCATGGCAACCTTTTTTGTCAAAAGCTACTAGTGACAAATCTATCGACTTGTTCTGGTGTTGTTGGAGAGTTTTCTGGTGTTTTGACTGTGTCGTGAAAGCACGTACCGTTCTACAGTTACTGCCGTGAATGAGCAGCGGGAGCTGCCGTGAGCCCCTCCGCCAACCCCAAAGCACTCACAGGCGGTCAGTCTCACAGCAGCCTGGCGCAGCAGTCCCAGCTGCAGTCAGAGAAGAGAGGAGACACTCTCGGCGTATTGATGTATCTGCACTCTGCAGTTAGTGTATTTATAGGTGTTGAGCTTCATTTTTACACGAAACAAATAATAACCCTAGCTGTGGCGTCATAATGAGGACAGCAGTGAAGGCCCAGGTATAAAATGCATGGCCCGCCACTGGAGTAGGCCAACATATCCTCATACAACTGTTCGTATGATGTCTTATGAAAATGTTACTCCTCACTTTTTCGTGCATTTTCCTACAAAAGTCACCTTCTGTCTTTTCAAAAATAAGTTTGTCTTCACAGGAAACAAATTTGTTAGGTTTAGGCAATGAAACCACTTAGTTAGGATTAGCTCGTCGTTTTCATTAAAACAACCACAGAAGTACTGTTATTGAAATGTTATTGAATTACGCAAGTTACAGGACAAATTGATCAACGGCTGTCTGAAAGTTTGATTGAAGAACAAAGGTTTGTTGGACTCATCCACCCCACCCTGTGTGTGCTTTAGCAGTCTTTATACTTCCTTGTTCATCGATACGTTTACAACATACAAAAGAATGTTGTTGTTTTTGCTGGATGAGATCAGCCTGATTAGACATGTTGTTTAGCCAGATTTCTGAAACCTCTTTTAAAAGGGAAAACGGAGAGGTAGTCGAACGAGGAAGTTTACAAGGGAGCATAGCGAGGAGTAAGTGCGAAGTGAATGCTATAAAACCTAAATATCCCTCCTTATAAGCCAAACATGTAAATACATTTTGCCAATAGATAAACATAAAAGACTGATGCTCTTTTTCCAGGAAATAAACATTTCCTAAAAGTTGCTTGAGCCTTAAAGTTCAAGACTGGAAGTCTTGCACTGTGGGCTGGAAGTATGACCAAGCAAAACTTCCTTTCGTGTATGCTACATAATTATCCCCTATTCCACCTTACAGATTAGTTTGTTGCTTTCATAGTCATGCTAAAACGACCTTTACTCACCAGCAGCTATCCCACCTCTATGGGCCTTGTGACCATGCAGCAGACGGTAATCGTGAATTATTGTACAGCAACATTCTTTAACTGGAGAAGAAGAAGACTGTTTCACAAGAAAACAGCAGACTTGCTCACATGTCCTCTCACTGGCGTCAGTCCCCTCTTACCTCATATCCCCCGGGCTGCAGACCTCAGAGATGCTCCAGTGGATTTCAGCAAACACTGCAGCAGCGGCCTAATGCCATGTGACAATCTGTTTTGCTATTTTGCACGGTGTTGGAGGCGGCGGGAGTGACATTTCTCTAATTGGACATAATGATGAGGAGAGAGGGGAGGTGGGTTCCCCGTTTGAGATGACAATGTGCCCACTTCACCTTTTTTTTTTTTTATGAAGAACAATGTGCAACTTTTAACTCCTTGATGATGCATTACTGCTGCTAGTGTGGTGCTGGTTTAGGAGAAGAATCATGGCAATGATCTATTTTCGCATTTTTCAGCTGCACATAAATCGGATAACAAATGTATCTCTCTCCCTTCCCTCCCTCTTTTACTTCTATCCGAGTTAGCCTGCTTTTGACCGTTGCTCTTTGGTGGCTCAGTAGTAGAGTAGGGTCGTCCTTCAATCAGATGACCGGTGGTTCGATGTGCTAGTCCATGTCGATGTGTCCTCGGGCAAGACATTTAACCCCAAATTGCTCCCTGTCTTCTATGAATGGGTGTGAATGATTAGCTAGTCCTGATAGGCAGGTTGCACCTTGCATGGTAGCCCCTGCCATCAGTGTATGAATGTGTGTGTGTGGTGGTGGTGGTGGGGGGTGATGACATGCAGTGTTAAAGCGCTTTGAGTGGTCGGAAGACTAGAAAAGCGCTTTAAAGTACAGTCCATGACACTAGTGGGAATGCTTTTCTTTTACAGAGATGTATAAGTCAAATCCATCAGAGCTACTGTTACAAGCCTAAATGCATGAACCAATCGTTTTGGGTAATGTAAGACAGGCAAAGTCAAACAATGGTGAGAGGGTCATGGGAAAGTTTACCACCAAACATTTAACATTCAATTCTAAAGTTTCCGGTAGTTTAATTACTGTGGGATTAGACTCTTTCAGCTCTCCCCAGATCTCCCCCCCCCCCCCCTCCACGCAGCTCACGGGCGTCTTAATCGGGACGGACTTAGGGGCCCCGTGGCACCAGGGGTGCAGCCTTTGTGGGCCCAGCAAAGAAAGGAAAGGAGTGTGTCAGCGATTTAGGAGAGAGTTACAGCCTTGTTTGGCCTGCTGCCTGGTCAACTGGGTTTCTGCAGGGGCACTGGGCAGAGTGACAGGCCCAGTTACAGTGAATCAAGACTGTTGGACCGAGGTGAGTTTGCAAAGACGGATGAGGCGAGATGGAGAGAATAAGAATGGGTATTTAGTCCCTCTGGCTGCCTCTGAAGCAGCCGGTTTAATGCGGTTGGTTTCTTGGTTTGGGTTCGTTCATGTGAGCTGGTTGGTACTGAGCTGGCACAGAGCAGTGATGAGTCTTCATAATTACATGAAGCAGCCTCTTATCATCCAAAATGGCAACTTGTTAGTTCCATTTTAGATCAAATAAATATCTATCTGCATTTCTGTTCGACACACAAGTAAAAGACAGCTGATTTGAGAGTTTTCACTTTATTTTTTTAGATTCTCAGTTTTAAAAATGTAAGCATAATGTTTTGTACATTTTGTAATTGATTGCTGACTTTACTTGATTATTTAGGTTTTTTTACTTTAATTATTTGATTCCTGTTTATTCTATGTATTTTATCTATTCTCTTTTTTTATTCTAAATCTGCATTACATGTTGAAATAATGAAAATCTAATTTGTAACTCATGCTGCTACTGTTTTGGCTAGTTGAAGTTGCAAAATAAAATGGTTTATTATGTCATTAAGGCCTTTCCTGTTAATAAACATTGTGCAAATATTCCTAAATGTTCAAGGGATTCATTACTTTTCATCCAAACAGCACTTTGACTGGAAATCATAATCTTTCTGCTTAGTTGGAATGAGCCAATAAAAATCTAAATCTGTACTACCAGTCATTTTCTACAGAAGATGATTCATACTAAGAGAACTGGAAAACTTCTCACAAAACTAAAGTACTTCCCATTTTAACATTTACATCTCTGGCATTTCTTTCTATTGAAAGAAATAAAACATTTAGCTCCAGTGAAAAGAAATCCTGAGAACAGATATAGGGGAAAATATGAAAATGATATGATTAAAGAAGGCCGGTGGCCCATAGCAGTTAAAGGCAACACAATGAATTCTTCTTTGTTTTTTTTTACGTTATGCCGCGCATAATCTTTTGTTGGCACCATGTGCTTTATCTTGTAGTTTCCCAATCTCTCAGGCAATGGGTGAAGTGAATGAGATTGACAAAGCCTTAGCGACCATAGTTTGCATGCCAACTCTCTTAAAAGGCCACCACACACATATTCACCACTCTGTTGTCTGTTGCCTTGGTGAACGTTGGTGTCACTTAAATGTCCTGAGCCGATGCGTGAATGTTAATTTCACCACACCCTATGTGTCACTTAAGTTGCATCCCATAAAACCTGTTTCACAAGACATTTGTCGTTACTTGTTTAGTTATTTACTGGCATGTGATGGTTTTTACATTGTTAAAAACGCACTCCCAAATGATGAACGAAAATATATATATA